CACGGCTATAGAGACAACTGTACAATTCCGTTACACTGACGCTTTCCGTAATGATTTGATCCTTGATCAATTGATCACGAAGCTCGAATGTCGCAAGGGGCCTGGTGTTCCGAAGAATAGCTATCAGGGCCGCGATAATCACCCTTGCAACCTCTGGCTCTCTTGTAATATTGCTAAGTAGAGAGCTCTCTATCTGTTCGATCTTATGCAAGTTGCAGAGGTATCTTTGGGCGGCGCGCAGAGAACGCTGTCCCTGCAACCGGCTCATGATGACTCGGGCCAGAAATAAACCACCACCAAGTCTATTGGTGGCCTCGACGGCATCGGCCACGAGGTCATTGGCCCGTGGACCCTCGGGCTTACATTTTGACAGCCTCCCGAGCTTCTTCTTGACGTATTTCATGACACCCTGCTCCATATCCTTGTGAGTGTACGTCAACACTGGCCCAAATGACTTGCCCAGGATGAATTTCTCGCGACTGGTGACGAGTACCTTGACCTGTACCTTGGGAGTCCTCTCTCGTACAAGTTCTGCAAACTTGTCTAGGAGCTTCTCCGTGTCGCTCTCGCTGTCGTGGACGCTGTCAAGAACCACCCAGACCTGGGCAAGCGATTGAATGAGCCGACATAATATGGTGAAGAGAGATTCAAGAGTATCTGCCTGACTAATTCGCTTTATCAACTCTTCTACCCCTCCTACACCCGACAGAGTGTCTGGGCGCTTTCTGACGATATCCCAAATGAGGGCTAGGAGTATTGAAGAAGCTGTGTGTTTGCACTTGGGGCCGCAATTCAGAAATACGGTCGGGGTCCAATCTTTGGCCATACTCATCTTCATTATCTCCCTATATATCAATGCAGAGATCGCTGTCTTGCCTGAGCCAGCGGGACCGGTTATGCCTAACATACTGGAAGTCGGTGACTGCAGCCAGGATCTGTACTGGTCGTTTTCGAGGACAAAATCATACGTATTCCACGCCTCTATTGTTTGCCATTTCTGTAGTATCAGGTCATTTTCATCGATTTCATTGGCACTGGACAGGAGGAATTGTCGGAGCAGAAGTAAAGAGCCGCTACATAAAGCTTCGTTCGCATCTGTATGAAGCAATCAGACTCAATATGTCCAGGGTATGTAGCCCTCATACATAACTCACCTCGCTGGAATTTATCAACTGATAGATCTCGATTTGCAACCATCCGCAAAGACATGTTCGCTAGGTGCAAAGCGCGGACCCCATACGATGCTACGTGCTGTGTTGTCTGTGACGTCTCTGCTTGCTGCAGAGCGATAGTGGCCATCTGAGAAGGCCTAGATGCAATATATGCTGATTTTGAGGCATCAGCAGCCCTCTGGACACGGTCAACTATCAAGCCATCGACATGAAAAGGCAGAACTGAGACTATTAGCAGATGAAATTCCGACGGGCCATAGAACCCACAGGTGATGCCTTCCTCTTCGTTGAAGACTGCATCATGTTCCATGTCGGGAGTCATGTATGTCGTTATCACTGATAGCGTGGGCTCCAATAGTACATAGATTGGAAGAGAATAGGTATTGAGGCAATTTGAAAGCTTAGATATTGCTAGGTTGTAGTCTAGCGGAGTGGATTGAAGTGAATCAAAGGAAGTGAATCAAATGAGGCACAGTCTTTATTCACGGGTGCCAACGATTAGTAGTTAATGCTTTGAATTAAGAGGCACTGGATGTTACAGAATCCTTCCACAGACTTCTGGGAGAAGTGAAGATGATCCGCTTATAGATACGAGACTGGCGTACACCCTGTACGGAACCACTCTAACAGCTAGTTGACTTTTATCTTAACATTGTTTGCAGCCCCAAACGAACTCACCGTTTTGGCGAACTGTCAACGATTTGAGATGAAGTCCTGGTGAATTTGGTTCGAGATCCCCGGGCCTCAACATGAGCTAGCCGTGACTTCATGTGCCCACGTTACATTAGAAGAGACTATTGATAGCCACTTGAGGCCATATGTGAGCTTCTTCAATGTATAGGATGCTCCGATGAGGTTAACGACACGGATAATGAGATATCTTAACATCATATCGTACTTACGACATTGTCTCTTCCCTAGTAATTTGTTTTTCGTTATTAATTGAATCTTTACTTAGTCGATCGTTGGCCTACAACCTTCAATACTGGATCCTGGACCCTAGATCTCGTTTATCTCGTACCTGCACCTTGGTGACAGTGCAGTAGCCTTTTTGGCTTCAGGTCCATTTCACCCAGCGCCTGGTTCTTTGTTTAGCTCGACGTTTGTGGCAACCGTGCCGTAAGTTGTGGAATGACATCCATATCACTCGTGACTCACTAGCGGATAGGTCGGGGCAGCAATTATGAGCATATGCAAATCCAATCCCTTCTATTTGTTCTGTGAAAAAAGATCTATATCCGTTCATTTTTCTATGGTTAACGGTGCGTCAATAGTTTTGGTAAATTGGAGTTTAACAGACCCCTAAGATGCTAGATAAGCCATAGTACCTTTCAATCTTCACCACTAGGCGTTGAGTCAATATTAACATGGCAATCCTAAATCTTTGGTGCACGCTGTCCTCGAATCATGCTATTATACTACAGTTTTATCCTCAGTGTTTGTTCCGGCAATTGCCTCCTCGGTCATGCCACTATACTGGGAGTCCTTAAGCGCCATGAGCTTCTCAATCAGATCATTTCCGTCTCCCACGCGTTCCATGAGATCCTCAGACGTGCTGGCTCCCAACTGAGCCCGCCTATAATTATACCATACATTAAATCCAACTGTATCGGTCTTGGTCATGGAGTAGCTTACCCCTCTGCCTTGTAGATACCTGGGAAAGGATCTGGATGTCGACGGTGGTCATGCTCTGAATATCGATTCTGTCTTGCTCCCGAGCAAGTTCTCTCGTAATCTTGGGCGAGTTGACTTCTAACCCAAGGACGATCAGTCAAAGCGCATATGCCCTGGCCGTCCGCCCCGGAGGATCCATGGGGAATTAGAGCTCTCCATGGCTGGTGCTTGGTGGACTCGACCATCTTGTTGTCTATGGTTATTATCTCTCCACGATTGGCTAAGCAAGTACTATGCGGCCGCAAAAGAGTTGCCTGGATCATGGACTTGAAGAAGCCTAGAAAGAAGAAGAGCCGTGAACAGCTCTAGTATATATAGCCCACTGAGTCAGCCGAGGACAAGCCTGTCATGGACGTCAAATTACCGGTAGCAGGTGTGCTCGAGGGCCATGTATCACGAGACGAGTACGAAATCTCGGGAAGCTATATCCTTCCGGTTACCCCCAGCTCTCAAGGGCATGATACACAAATACCACCGTGTAAATGGTACTCCCTGAGCTCGCCTATGCTGGCAAATGAGTGGTTCGAGGTTCGCCTGAGGACCTATTCGAAACGAATGGGTTTCTGATGCTTGGTCAAACATCCAATCAACCAGTATTCTCAGATCAAGCCATACCTAAACTCTGGAAATAACGGTAGCCCGCATTGTGTCCCACAGGATGGCTTTATCACGACCATGCTTTGTTGGCAATATTGTATGCATTTCACCATTCCTCCAGACAGTTCAGGCAGTTCTGAAACACCTATGCGATATTTGCAGAACCATCCCATCGATTACTATTAAGATTGGCCATATATACATTCCTATGCTTTCTTGCTGTACCCATTGATAGATCGAGCAATCTAGCTTCCAGTATTTCGGCTCCGTTTTCATCATGGAGTCCAGTAACGATATAGGAGATATCCCTCAGTCTCAACAAGTCCATGTTTCTATGGGCTTCCTAAGAGACCTTCAACTTTACAATGTCGAGAAGCCGTATCATCTAACTATCTCAAAGGATCGAGAATCAGACACCGTGCTCACCAATATTGTCCATGATCTCTACAATGATGTCCCTGTTACCAACGTACGCGGTTCCGAGACGTACTTTGAATTGGATACACACGGATTCCAGCTTGCCAGACATAGGACCTCAATGAGCATTGAAGATTTTGGTTCGCCAGAACTAGTCCAAGGAAGGTATTTTCCGGAAATGGCAAAATACCTGGAGCATCATCTTGGAGCCCGAGAGGTACGAATAATGTTTTACAATGTTAGGCGTCGATCTCTGGGCTTAGTAGACGAAATCTGCGAAAAGGAAAGACAAGGGCAAGGGAGACCAATACCTGGGATACATATCGGTATATAGTTCCCCTCTTAAGCGTCTATCAATGAAGATGTGAAATATACTGACCCTCCGAATAGATGCTTCAGCCGACGGCGCATTGAAGAGAATCCAAGATAACTGGCCTTCAGAAGTGCGTTCTATTTGCGAGGGGCGGTACCAGATATTGAAGTAAGTCGACTACAAGGCAAGTACGACTAAAACTCACAGCCGCAGTGTTTGGAGACCGCTGGGCCCCCCATTGAGAGACTGGCCACTGGCGCTATGCGATGTACGCAGTGTCAACGAGGAAGATAAGGTCAAGGCTGACCTTATATACCCCGGATACGAAGGGGAGAATACGCTTCTATACTTTAGCCCTCATTATAGGTTCTACTTCGTTGACGGGCAGAAAGAGGACGAGATCTGGATCTTCAAGCAGTTTGATTCTGCTAGTGGAGTCGCTGGTGGTAGGTTACTCTCAATCGCGCTGAATTTATCAATTGCACTGACACGCTATTGTTAGGTTGTCCCCATGGTTCGTTTAAGAGTCCACAAACGACAACATCAAGCATTAGTAGCCAAAGTATTGACATAGCTGCCTTGGTGATTTATTGAGAATCTACAAGTTATAGGGAATAGTGTGGCGACGTGACCGGGGTGTCAAGCTGAGTTAATATAGGAGCTTCTAGTTCGACAAAAAGGAACAGAACATATAAACTTGGGTTTAGTCGCCATAAAGTCCTTAAATGATGTCAGGTAAGCCTGCAAAGACGACCGAAAGAAAGCAATAACATCTACAATAAGGAAATGAGACGGAATTGAATGAAAACGGCACAAAAAGGTGTAGATGCGGTGAGTGTGGATCGAACACACGACCTTCAGATTTCAAGATTGAAGTTTGTCTTCAGTCTCTATGGAGGGTTAGAGATTAAACAAAGTCTAAGGAACTAGCACAGTTTCACTACTTACGACGCTCTCCCAGCTGAGCTATCCCCGCTGGTATAGCGATCATATTTTTACTACCACATATAGGTGTAGATGGACATGCTTCGACTGAAAAAAAAGTTCAAAAAAAAGAACGTGTTGCGGTGAGTGCGGATCGAACGCACGACCTTCAGATTTCAGGAATGAAGTTGTTCTTCAGTCTGACGCTCTCCCAACTGAGCTATCCCCGCTGACGTTAAAAATGAAGACTTTTAAATGTATATATATTATAACAACGTTAAAAAAACATGTAAATTTTTATTCGTTAATTATTTTTATTAAAAAATTACGTAATTATTATAACGTTTTATATAAAGTTTTATAAAAAGTTTTAAATTTATAAAGAAGTTAAATTATAAAATAAAATTATTTATTTATTTTAAAAAAATAATAAAAAATTAAAAAAGTTTAATTTATAAAAAAAGTTTTTTTTAAAAAAATATTATTATTTTATTTAAAGGATATATTACGTTAAATCTTAAAGAAATTATTATATAAAATTAATAAGTAATTAATAAATAATTAATAAGCTTTTTTAATTAACGATTAATGGAAAAAGCAACGTTAATAAAGGTTAAAAAGCGTTAATAAGCGTTAACGTTAAATAAATCGCGTTAAATTTTAAATTTTATCTTTTTCCATTTAAAAATTAATAACTCGACGAATAATTACTTAATCAGGAAATAATTAACATTAATATAAAGTTAATTTAATTCCGGTTTTAATAATTTAAAATGCACGATGATACGACTTTTTATTATAATAACTTTATGGCTAGCTTTATATAAAAGTTATAATTACGGTTTTTTTAATATTAAATCTTACATAATAATCGCATTTATTATAATTATAATTACATTTATACTTGTAATTATACGTTATTAAGGTAAGTTTTTACGTATATAAGGTTTTAATTAATTAAATATAACCTTTATAATTAATTTTTTTTAATCTTAATATTTTTTAATTAACTTTAAGTTTAACGTAATAAAGGCCGTATAAAGTAAGCCCCTTAATAATAATATTAAAATTCTTTAAATATAAAAGTTTTTTTACGTTTAATTTTAAGTTTTACTATTTATACTACCTTTTTTTATTATTAAGCTTTATTTATATTATTAATACATTAACTTTAGCTATATTATTAAATACTTTATATATATATTAAATAAAGCAGGCGGTTAACACTTAATATTATAACGTTTTTAATTAATTAAAATTATTTATTTTATAAACTTTATTTATATTAAATATTATTATATTATTATATAAAAATCTTTATTATTAATAAAATTATTAATAATAAATTAAGAATTAATTTAAACTATTAATATCTTTAAAATAATAAATTATAAAGTTTTGATATTTTTACATTATATCTTTTTAAACATAATAATATTTTAATCTATATATTTTAAACTTATATTTAATAATCATTATTTAATGAATATATTTATTAAAATTTAACTTATTAAAATTATGTAAAGTTTTTTTACTTATAAAAATTATTAAAATTAATGATAAAGGTTTAAATAAGCCTTAATTATTATGATTAAAGTTTTTATCGTTATTATTAAAGCTTATTATAAAGGTTAAAAAGTTTAATATATTTAATGTAATTTATTATATAAAATGTTTTAATCTTTAATTATAATTATTAAAAAACTAATATATATTATTTAAAAAGTAATTATTAAGTTTATTATAATTGTCAGTTTTAAATTTATTATTATTAAATTTTTATTTAAACTTTTTAATATAATATAAATAATAAAACTCTTACTGTTTGTTAGGAGTGGGATCGGCTTTAACGATATAACTATTATTTTATTTTTACCTTTTTCTACTAGTTATTTTAATAAATAATTTCTTTATATTATTATTAAAGGTTATTTTATATTTATACGTCTTTAAATTATCTTTATTTATAATTATATAATAAATGGAATATTGATTATTAACGTTATTATTATTTATTATATTAATAATATAATAAGTAAAAATAGCTTAAATAAAATAAATAAATTTTTTTTATAAATATATATATAATTAAATAATATAGTTAATTTTAATATATAGAAAAGATTTATATATTTAAATCTTTTAATTTATTTAAGAGATTTCATATATGTGTATCGAGACGATATTTATTTTTATATTTTAAGTTAAGTTTTAAGATTATAATGATATAATTTTTATCTCATAAAATATAAATATTATTACGAAGAAAGATTATATTATATAAATAATTAATAAATTTTTTAAACTATATATTATCTTTAAGTTTAAATTTAATTATATTATTAATAATTACTTAATTACGATAAGTTTTTAATATAATATAATTTTCTTAAATTAATATAAAATTATATATTATAAAGTATAAGCTTTTATTATTATTATAATTATTTAAGTTATAAAAGATAAAAAGAATGAAGTTATTAATGTATAAGTAAGAGTTATTAATGTTAAATTTATTAATATTTAAGGCGTTAGTATTTAAATCGCTAATATTTAAGGCGTTAATGTTTAAGGCGTTAATATTTAAGATGTTAGTGTTTAAGGTTTTATGGCGGGTGGCGATAGTTAAAGTATGTTTGATTTTTAAAGTTTTTTATAGTTTAAATATTTTATTAAGGTAGATTTAATTATAGAAATTAAATATAATTAAGTATAGTTAATTTATAATATAATATTAATATTATTTAAATTATTAAGAGAAAAGGTTTTATTATTTATATATAAAGGGACATAAAAATAATATTGTTTAATAAAAATAAGATTATTAATAAATATTATTTTGTTTTTTAATTTAATTTATTTAAATAAAAAGTAAAGATTTTTGTCATTTATCATTTAATCTTTACTTAACATTTAAATATTACTTATAAAAATGTAGTAGATATAATAAATAATTCTATAATTTAATAAGCTATAATTTAATATTTAAGAAGTTAATAATTTAATAAATAAGATATAACTTAAATAATAAATAATAACCTTTTTCTTTAATTACTATTATTTTATATCTTTAGGTATTAATAGTGTTAGAATAATAAACGGTTAATATTTTATTATAAATAAAGTAATAAGTTAAAATTAATATATAATATACGTTAATAAAAACAAATGTAAATAGAAAAGTTAATAATATTATAAGTTAAATAAATTATATATAAGATATTATTCTATTTTAACGGCATTTTCAGACCTTAATTATTCCGTAATTAATTAAAAATATATATTTAATTAAGCCTTAAACTTTATAAAATATTTATATAATATTTATTTATAAACTTTTTATTTAATTTATAAAAATATTATTATATTAATATAATATAATCTTATTTATAAATTTAGAATTATTTAATAAAAATAAAAAGCTTTAATTATTTTTATTTATTTAAATTTATTATATTTATTATAATCTTTATCTTTATCTTCTTTTTTACTTTTTTTTTCTTCCTTTTTTACTCTTTATAAACTGTTGATCGTATAAGATTATAATATTTTATAATCTTTTTTTTCTTAATTATACATTTGTTTTACCAGAATAATAAGTTTTAACTTATTTTTAAAACTAATAAGACGTCTTTATTAATAGCTTTAAGTTCTTAGTTATATTTTAAATTATATAGCTATAAAAGTAGGTATATTAATAAAAATAAATAATATAAATTTAAGAAGATAGCTTTATTAACAATCTTAAATATTTTATTATATTATAGGTTATATAATTATTAATAATCTTTTATTTATAATATTAAGTTATTTAAGACTTTTATTATATTTTTATTAAAAGAATTAACGGCATATATTATTACTAATTAGGTAAAATTCTTAAAAACAATTTAAGCTTTTTTATTAAAAAGTTTAAATCTTTAATATATATAAGATTTTACTAAATAAGCTATTATTATAAAGCTTTTTATATATATTTTTAATAATATTAAGATCTTAAATATAAAAATGAGGATATTTTTTTATTATATTATAATCTAATTATTAAAATTAATTAATCTTAGCCTTCTTAATTATCTCACCAGTTTTTAATTTAAAAAGAATATTATAAGCATATAAGATATTATACTACATTTTTACTTAATCATTATAAACCTTTAAAGGTTTTTCTTTAATTAATAAATTTAATATTTTACGATATTTTTTAGTAAATAAATCAACGTAATAATAAAAGATTTAACAAGATAACTCTTTAAGTTAATAAGATCTTATATATTTTCGGCAAAGACGCTTTACTTACATATTTTATATAGCAGTATATAAGCGTTTTTACTTAATAGTTATTTCTTAAATTATTATGCATATTTTAAAGAAATTATTTTAATCATAAATAAAATAGCTTTTTAAATTTTAATACGTTAATTTAATAAAGAAGATGGTTTATTAATTATAATTTTTATTAATTAAAATATAATAAATTACTTATTTACGTTTATTTTTTATATACTTTTTATCGATATAAGAGATAATATTTTATTAATTATTAAACTTTATTTTTAAAAGATTTTATATAATATTAAACTTTTTTTCAATATTTATGTATAACATATATTTTTATAAGTTAAATAAATTTTAACGATTATAAAAAATAGTTTTAAATAATTAACCGGGTATATTTTTAAAGGTTTTAACAAAAGTATTAAACTTTTAAATAATGTTATTAATGGTAGTTTTGTTATTATTTTTTATAAGTTTTATTAACTTATTAAAAGCTTTTTTTTAAAACTTCTTTATATTAAAGATAATATTCTTATTAATATGAAATATATATAGTTATAGTTTAGCCATAAGCATATAAAAGCGAAATATACCTTACTTTACATTATTATAATTAATAATAATTATATTTAATAAGGGAATTTTAAGTTTTATATAAGTTTATTTAATATCGACTATGATTTAATTAAACACTTTAAAACATTTATTATTAATAAACTTGTAAAGAATATTAGCGATAATTTTAGTTAAGATAATTATTATTCTAATAAATAA